TCCATTCTAAATGATAGCTTTGCTGGATAGAATAATCCAAAACTGGATTCCAAATCCAGCTTTGCTGGATAGAGTAGTTTTGGGTGTTAGTCTTTGCCTTTCATGACTTGAAATACTTCTTTCCAGCCCCTTCTTGCCTGCAAGTTTTCTTTTGAGAAATCAACTGACAGTCTTATGGGTACTCCTTTGTAGGTAACTCTCTCCATTTCTCTCACTGCTTTTAAGATTTTCTCCTTATCTTCAATTTTGGGTAATGTAGTTATGATGTGCCTTGGTGTGTTCCTCCTTGGGTCCAACTTCTTTGGGACTCTCTGAGCTTCCTGGACTTCCTGGAAGTCTATTTCTTTAGCCAGATTGGGGAAATTCTCCATTATTTTTTCAAATAAGTTTTCAAATTCTTGTTCTTCCTCTTCTGGCACTCCTATGATTTGAATGTTGGAACATTTAAAGTTGTCCCTAAGGTTCCTAAGCTTCTCCTAATTTTTTTAAATCCATGTTTCTTCATTCTGTTCCAGTTGAATATTTATTTCTCCTTTCTGGTCCAAGTTATTGATTTGAATCCCAGTTTCCTTCCCTTCACTGTTTGGTTCCTGTACATTTTCCTTTATTTCACTTTTCATAGCTTTCACTTTTTCTTCTATTTTGGGATAATACTCAACCATTTCTGTGAGCATCCTGATTGCCAGTGTTTTGAACTATACATCTGATATGTTGGCTATCTCTTCATCGCTTACTTGTATTTTTTTTCTGGAACTTTGATCTGTTTTTTTCATTTGTGCCATATTTTTTTTCATCTTGGTGTGCCTGTTACATAGTAAGGGGAGGAGCCTTAGGTATTCTCCAGGGCGGGGCAACCCATGTTGCTATGTGGTTGCATTATATGTGCAGGAGGGGTCAGAGAGGGAACATGCTGCTTGCTCAGCTTTCAGCCAGCTTTCAGTCACTTCCCCTTCTACCCACAATCAAATTGGGCCCTTCTGGTGCAGATTCCCAGGTGGGTGGGTTTGTGTATATTTTAGGACCCTGTGGGTCTCTTCAACGGACTCTCCTGTGAGGCTGAGAGTTTCCCCTGCTGCCTAAGCCCCCACAGGTTTTTTCAGTCAGAGGTTTTTGGGGCTTTATTTCCCCATGCTGGAACCCTGGGTTATGCTATCTCTCTTGCTCCACGGTTGTTCCTCCTGGTTATCCACATGCCAATGTGAGACTGCCTAGTCCTCCAGTGTTGTGTTGCCATGAGTCCTCTCCACCCCAGGTGCTCATTTCTGCCCCTCCTACCAATCTGGATGAATGTTTCTTTTTTAACTACTTGGTTGTTGGATTTTCAAACAATTTGATTTTCTGGCAGTTCTGGTTGTTTTTTATTTTTAAATTTGTTGTCCTTTGGTTGTACAAGGAGGCAAAGTGTGTCTACCTATGCCTCCATCTTGGCTGGAAATTCCTGTTTCTTTCTTTTTCTTTTTTAGTGGGGGAGATATTTTTGATTCTGAATTCTTATTCCTATAGGCCAATGCTAATGTTTCTTTTGTAGTTGAGAGATACCCCTTTGCTTACCTTCTGAAAGGAGATGAAGATATGTCTGTGGACGAATCCATGTTAAAGGAAGTTGAAAAACAGTGAGTTCTGAGATTTTTGTTGGTAGCCTCTTAAACATATTTTATTGTTCATGTAATATAATACTATGGAAATATTAGAATAAGAAATATCCATAAACAGACTAGTCATTAAAATATTACATATGATTCCTTCATCTTTTTTAAAAGTTAAGTAAAGCTCTTTCATGTTACTTTAATATAATAATTGATATAAAATTATTTTCTCTAAAGTCAAAATATGAAGTTACTTAAATCACAGTACTCCAAACTGTGGTCCAGTGAGGCTAGAATTTTACCTATTAAGTTAAAAAAACCAGAGTTTTAAACAGAGATTCTCAAATTTTCTTGGTTCACAAAGCCCTTAACATCTCAGTAACTTTTTTATGTCACTACAAAAGAAATGCCTGACACCTGTGTTTATTACATAGTTAAATCCAAATGGCATAATACATGTCTTTGTTCTAACAGCCTGGTGCCTTTGGACATTGCAGAACTTCTCAAACTTTGGAATCAGATTGGACACAGCCATTTATCATTTTGTGTTCCACATTAATTTTTACATGGTACTTGCATTTTAACAGCAACTGCTGAAAACCTAGCCCTTTAAGATGTCATCAAAAGGAATGCAGTGATCTAATGCTGAAATTGTGAACTACCTCAAAGTAGTAGTTCACAGTGTCCAACAGATACAGATGGTATATGCAATCTGATCCTCATTCTTATATAAACTTGGCCAAGTTATTTAACTTTTTTGAGCTTTGTTTTCCTTACCTGCAAAATCAAGTCATTAAATCTATACACAGAATTTAATACAGAATAATTAGTGGAATCCCTTGCATAATAAATGCTTGGTACATGGTCAGTATCATTCAAGAAATGTTTTGGCTTACTAATCAATAGTAAGAGTTAGTGAATAGTTGAAGATTTTGTTAGTATTCAGACTTTATGAGTAAGTAGTATATGACAGTGGTTGGATTTGAAATGAAATTTTAAATTAGTCAGAATATTTAAAAATTTATCAGAAACCTAAATTTTAGTGGGGGAACTATACCTAGTAAGTGTTTCTACTTGTTAGAAAAGTAACTTAGCCTCCCTTTCCTCTTCTTCAAAATGGTGAAAATACCATCATGATAGGTGTAGGATTCGATGTAATTTCCACTTTTCTGTGAAATTAGAAGGCACTCAATAAATGAAAATTTTCTTTCTTCCTGTGTTTCTGAGATTGTTTTCCCCTTGAGACTGAATCTTGTGAGATTTGGTTTTCCATAGGGAATTCCTTAGGGGATATTTTCTCTATAATCCTAATCACTGATCATTTGTACCTGGTTTGTAGAAGAAAGCATGACATTTTATTCTTGAGTCAGAGTGTGGGATGGTGGTATAACTGCCACAGAATTATTTGAGCACAAGGTAGGTTGTCTTTGTTTTCTGTTAGTCTTTTCTATTTAGAATATAGTATAGGGAGTCTGCCTAGATTGTTTGCCATGAAGTAATTATCAGTCATTAATCACCTTTTGATATTGTTAAGGGTTTTATTATCCTTTTCTCTTGGCTGTGATAAATATAAGGTGCCCAAGATGGAAAAAAAATGGACTCTAAGCAACTTATTTTTAAAAGTAAATACTTATGAGCAGTTTTACTTGTTTTAATTCAATTAAAATTTTCCCTTGAAACAGATTTGTTTATAAATGTCACATTGTTATTTAGATTCTCTTAAGTGGGTAGCTCTGGATTTTAGAAAGCAGATTCCTTAATTTTTTTCAGTATGACTTTTCAAGTTACTTCCTCTTGCTTGACTGAAATCTTTCTTATTTTAAGTTTTTTTTTAAACATACATTCCATTGTTGGACTTGAAAAGCAGCTCCTAAGCTTCTTGTATAGTCTTAGCAATGATTATATATAGAGTGTCCATCTTGGTGCAATGGTGTTGGTAGAATGTTGTTTTGGTCAGATCTGCCCTTCTCTCTTCTTCATGATCTCCACAGAGCACAGTGCTCAGAATGAGGTCCTACAACAAGCAGGAGGTGAGATAGACAAACCAAATTACAGGACTTGCTTATAGAAAATAAATAGAAAGTAGGCAAAGAATGATTGGGAAGTATAGGAAGTACAGGTTTTAGGAGTTCTCTTAAATTTAGACTCTTTAATAAGATAAAACTTAGTGTATGTTGGTAATTTATTTTCTGCCTTTTTAAAAGAAATGGATAAACAGCTTTCTTTGTGGAATTATGTTCATGCTCCATGTCTAGAGATATAAATGTTTATGTACATTACTTATTGTTAAGTAATGTACACTACCTTATGTACATTACCTACATTACATAATGTTTATGTAGTTACCTATTCTGTGTTATTCTCTTTTCTTCCTTGAGATTTCTAGTTGTATTTGGGCATTACCCACAAAGAAATAATGATTACATTAAAAATCCACAAGGAGGATAATGATGGAAAAAACAAATACCCACATTTTAATAGTAGTTGAGCTTAGATGAGCGCTGCATGATTTTAATTTATAATTCCCACTCTTCTGTAATTTTAGATTTCCTTTGAAAAGTAAATGAGTATAATTTAAAAAATGGATTTTTGCATTTTATCTAAATAAAGAAATCAAGTGGATACATCAAGTGCCCTGGTCGCCTGTCCCTTCAGGCTGTTTTTATATAGTCAAACACAATGCCCATCATCTTAAATACAGCCACATGTAATAATTTTGAGCATAAAATAGACACTCAGATTAAGCTATAGAACAGAAATTTTTGTCAACCTCCATTTTTTAACATACAGCATGGAAGAGAAAAAAATTAAAAACAAAAGTGCTTAAAATGAATTCATATCTGAATGCTGAATACTGATGATTTAATATTTTCTCTCTCTTCAGTCAGGTGATTTCAAAGTGCTTACATACAATTAAGCAGAAGAGACCACAAAGTACATAACTCCCCACCATTATCCCATACTCCGATTTTAAGTAGAAATTAAATTTTAAGTATTTTATGCTTTGTTTTTCAAAACATTAAAATCACTACTATATGTAATTGCTTTGAGGTTATATGAGCTTTTAATAGGGAACGATCTCTGACATTTTATTTGGTGGAGTGCCCTCAGCTGATTAGAGTTTTCCTCATTGTAAATTCAGAAATAATAGTAATTGCCTATATTAAATGGAGATGTTAAAGTTCATAAAGCTTGAGAACCTTTGTGTATATATATATATATACACACACACACACACACAATTACAATGATTACTCTTAAATGATTATCCCTGGTTTGGTTTGACATTTAATAATTAAGCCTTTTGCACGATACTGCCTTGAGTCAGCAAAGCTGCATTCAGGTGTTGATGACTCTGGCTTTTAAATGTTAAAAAAATTATTGTGGCAGATAGGTACCTAAAATACACCTCTATAATAGGAATAAAAAAGTTTAATAAATGCTCATTCATGTTCTATTTGATTGCTAACTATATAAGGAGTTTTTTGGTTATGGTCTGCCTCACAGAGAAAGTCTGATTTTCTAAACACATACTTTATTTTAGAAGGAATTGCTTGCTCAGTTCTGTGCTTTCTGTAAAACATTGCTAAACAGTGTGCATATGCAAGTTAAAACCATATAAGATATCAGGCTAACACTGAACAGACCCAGACAGCAGACCTGACTGTGTTTTTCTTGGTTTTGTCATCAGAAACATGTCTTGCTAGAATGTGCTCAGGATTTTTTGAACAGTCCATGAAAGGTGACAGGGATGTTGATCTCCACTTCAGCCCTGGCAATTTCACTCAGGTCCTTGGCATTCAGAATCAGGAGGTAAGCGGGCTTTTGTCCTGCTCCGGGACTCACCACCACACTCAGAACCACACCTGTTAATCAGAAGTAAATAAGGCAATGTTGATTTTTTTAAAGTGTCCAGGGACATAGATTAAATGACACTGAAATAATACAGGAGGATTACACTGGCAAGTAAAAAAGAACATATGACTTGATATTTAGATTTTTGACTCTTCAGCTACCCCACTGTGAGATCATCCTAACAAGGCCTTTTAAACTCTTCATGTCCGCTAGGCTGTAAGTTCTAGGAAGGGCGTGACCATCTGTTTTGCCCACTGTACATCCTGGTAGCCTGCTACAGTGATAGAACTTAGGAGGTGTTCATTAAGTCCATATTGAATGAGTTGATCTGTGTTCTTATCAGTAACATAAAATATACCATTTGCTCTACCCATGGCAGAAAAAGTCTTGTGACAAATGAAAAATGTGTATACTAAAAGATTGTGACAACAGTAATGTATATTATTTCTATAATTTCTAAGACTTAGCTGGAAGTTTACCCCCATCAAACAAAATGAGAACAAAGCTTTTGAAGTTTTGACTGGATGGGCTGTAAAATCATTTAGCATGAAATGCCTCCACAATTCTTCATTTTATTCATTCCTCTGTGGTTTCCTATATTTTAATCCCAGCTAATCAGTAGTTCACTAAGACTGATGTTTTATAATTGAGTTGCTGTTGTACAGGCAATATCTCTGGGTCTCTTTCTGGCCCCAGCTTTGTCTCTAAAGAGACAAAACTAGAGCCACAAAGCCACAGTCTCATTCTCTTTGATCTATCTGAGTACACTTCCCTTAGAACTGTATTCTTTTTTGTAAATGTATCTAAGTCGAGAAAGGCAAACACTTAAGACTTCATGCTGTTGTTTCCTCCTCCTTCCCTCCTTCATCTAGAGCAGACATTGGTGTTCCATCAGGACACCAGCTGGTGCTTTGGCATTTTTTCCACTAGTGATCCAGAAGATCCAACCACAAGATGAAACTTTTTTTTAAAGATTTTATTCATTTATCTTTAGAGGGGAAGGAAAGGAGAGAGGGAGAGAAATATCAATGTATGGTTGCCTCTTGTGTGTCCCTCACTGGGACCCAGGCATGTGCCCTGACTGGAAATCGAACCACAATCCCTCAGTTCACAGGCCTGCACTCAATCCACTGAGCTACACCAGCCAGGGTGAAACTTATTTTCAAATTAAGTTTGCATTCAGTAATACTAAGGGTTGTTTCTGAATGTTAGGGAATAATTATGTGACTGCCCTCCTAGTGAACTAACTACATGAACTCCGGTAAAAAGAGGACATTCGGACACATGTAATGCATTCATTACCATCATCTTCCTCCAAGGCATCTGGGTGAGCAACAAAGATGGGTTCTGATGGATATGAATCAGCTTCTTGCCATACCCAATTTTCTTTAGTTTTGACATTCAACTTACAGAGCTGTTTGTTAAGAAAGAAAAATCAATCAATCCATCAATCTGTCCTTATGCTTTACTTGACTAGCATATGACTTAAAGTACTGTTCTAATACCAGGAGGATGGGTTAATTACCCTGTCTGGAACAAAGTGATTCAAGCCAAGTCCATATGCGTAAGTATAAGGTTTCCCACCATACTTCTGGTAATTGATCTGAGGAAACTCAAATGCTACAAAACAAAGCACATGCTTAGGAAAACCCAGTTCATTTCTTTGAATGGAACATTTTGTACCCTCTCATGCCAGGCTTTTCTCTCCATCCTCTCACCTTGGCGAGGCCCTGAAAAGAGAACCTCAGGTTCCAGCCAGATGGTCTCGTCGCTGCACAGAATTGCAGTGGCAGTTGTGTTGGGGAGTGTGACTAAATTCTTGCCTGTGTCAGCCTGAGAAAGAGGACAACAGAAACCTCAGCGAGCAGGGCAGAAACATTAGTAACTATAATTGCAGCCTTCCCTTGGTTTGTCTCCTGCGTTTTTTATTTCCTAAGTTGACATGTAGAAGGAGCAGTGCCAGAAACTCTGGAAAGGAAAGCCCAGGTGCACACGGGGAAAGCCGTCTGGGCCTGTGTTGGTGGGAAAGTCACAAAACCTGTTAGGCCTTTAATCTTCTCTTCTGTGAAATGAGATTGTCCTTAAAGAAAAAGGCCTCTGAGCAAGGGCCTCCGGAAAACAATAGGAAAGCATTTTCCTACAGAACAACAAAGGCTTCAACCCCTTAGGGACCCATTTACAGTGTTCATCTTTATTATACTTAGGGTATGTCTTGATCTTATTTGAACAGCATTTTAGTTCTTTTGTTAAAAAGTAGCAAATAGGAAAAACAGATGTTTCTAAGATCCGTTCCCTGCCCCACACCCACATGATTTTTTGGATGACTTATGAAAAAGAAATAAACACCATGAACCCTCTTTCTAAGAATATGTTCATTTAGTAATACCTGTATCGAATACTTCAATACATGTATTGTGCTAGAATCTATCTAGGTATTTGGGATAGTTCAAAGAATACTGTCCCCTCTCCTCATGAAGCTTACATTCCACTTTGGGGATATAAGCAATAAATATAATTAATAGAAAATTGTATAAAATGTCATAAATATGGGGAGAACAAATAGAGCAGAGTAAGGGGGACCAGAAGTGAGCTGTAATTTTAATAGGTGGTCAGGGTGGGCCTCTTTGAAAAGGTGGCATTTGAGAAAAACTTGTAGGAGATGAGGAAGTTAGCAGTGTTCTGACTGCTCTGCTGAGATTGGGGAGGAGTGGGGATGCGAGAGTAGACTCAGGGAAACCAGTTTGTTTTGCAGTCATCTGGTCAAAAGAAAACACTGGTTCAAACTAGGCCAATAACACTGGATGGAGTCAGTGAGAAGTGGAAGATGGAGCCCAGAGGACTTCCTCATACGTAGGATGTGGGGTGGGAAGAGGAATGAAATTAACAGAAGAGTTAAGGATGACTCCAAGGTGTCTGCCCTGAGCTATTAAAGATTGCCACAAAACAGATGGGAACTACTGAAGGTGGGTAAAATTCTTGGTGGGGAAGAGGGGAAACTTAGGTTTTGTCTTATTAAACTATGATGTCTAGTGGAAACATGGAGTTGGCAGCAGCATATATGACCCCCAAGTTAAAAGGAAAGTTGAAAACGTATATATATATATATGTGGGGTGCTTTATAGCATGAGTCTTTAGAAAGGGAGGGAATTTATGGATAAGACAAAAGGCTTAGTTCTGGTGTCCCCCAACATTAAGAGGTCTACAAAAAGATAAATGAGGGGGTAGCTGGTGGGGACAAGAGAGTCAATTTTGTAAGAGGGCAACATAACAGCATGATAGAGGTGATCCAGTGAAAGGGGGAGAAGAGCAATAATACTGAAAAGCGGGGGGAGAGCTGCTAGAGTGATGTCCTCTGAGTGGGTGAGCGAGGATAGGAACGAGTAGTTCTGGGTAAGACGATGGATAATTCAATATGAGTACAGATGCTGGTGGGTGGGTAGATGTGGCAGAAATCTACGTTCTTTGCTAATTTCTCTCATTTGTATCAGTGAAATAGGAAGCAGAGCTGTCAGCTGAAAATGAGTGCGGAGGTGGGAGGTGTTAGAAGTTTGAAGAGAGGAGGGTGTGAAATATTTAACTAGGAACATGGGAGAATAAATGGAGCTGGGAAATGAGTGGTATGATTTGTGGTCAAGTATTTAAAAACAGACCAATTAACACTATCGTGTGTTTTTAACACTTAATTTCAGCCTCAGGGGTACATGAAGTGGGTTAAGAGTTTGATTTAACTAGACTTGTGTTTTTGACAAATGAGTTTGATAAAATAAGAAAGAGGCCCAAGAAATAAGGATCTATATATAAGAGTATCATTATAATTATTGACCATGGAATTTTAATTGAGTAGGGAAGGAAGGATAAGTCCTCAAGGGAGTGAGAGATTGTAAGAAGGTAAGAGATTGAAGTTCCTGGTGGGAACTGCAGTAAAGCAAGTGATCTTGAAAGGTAAGACATGGTTGTCAGAATGTTTCAAGTATGAATCTAAGATTATGAATGAAGCACATAGAAGTCATAGGTAATACCCACATCAAAGGCGTGCTTATGGTGAAGGAGTGGCTGAGAAAGAATGGAAGATAGCATCAGTAGAAAAGTCAAGGAAACGAAAGGCCAGGATGTTGGAAGAATCACCCCTGATGTGTATCTTGAAATGACAGATCCAGGAGTCTATCTGGGAAGTGTGGCCTTGAGCCAGAAAGAGGGGGAGTAGTGGTTAATAGGTCACAATAATGAGAAGTGTATATACACATATGTGTACATACCACTTGGCTACAGGTTGAGCTAAAATCAAATTAAAATGGGGAGATTTTAAGCATGGATGGAAGGAACAACGGTCAGAAAGCAGCAAAGTGGAACAAGGAGGACACCTACCCCAGTTCTGGGCCCGGCAGTACAAGGGCCGTAGGAGGAGAGACGGCCTCCCCTGGTGCTGAAGAGAACAGTGGCCTTGGGAGTCAGATTTTTATAAAAGAAAGAGGGTGGAGGGGACATTTGGAGAAGAGGATGATGGTATATTATGAATCAAAAGGAAATGGTGGAGGATTTTCAGGATAGGGAAGTGGATTAGAGGTGAGGAGCAAATAGAGGAAGGGATTTTGTGAGATTTTGCGAAATGCACCCGTTGGTCATGTCGGGAAGAAGAGGGTCGTGTGTGCATGTAAACATATTATGTCTGCACACAGTAAGTTCAGAAGTCCATGTGTAACTTACTGCATGTGTGATTGTAAGTTTAATTGTGTTATCCTGTTCTATCTTATTATTTCTATTATTAAATTAGGTTTTTAATGTAAGAAATCCATAACTCCTCAAAAAGCTGTATGTTGCTATTGACTCTTTCCCTACTTTTTTTTTAAGAGATGCATTCATCCTTTGACCCAGCAATCTCACTTCTGGGAATAGAGCTGTACAGGTATGAAGCAGCACACGCACGGAGGTGTTCCTTGGGACGTTATCTGTAGAAACAGCTCTGCTGCTTAGCAGCGAGGGATGCTCACAAAAGGGACACTGCAGTTGAAAACAGCGAGATCTTCAGTGTACATTGTGAAATGAAAAAAGTAAGGAACAAAACAGTGGATATAGAAAGTTACTTTTTGCATAAGAGAACGTGAAATAATAATTATATATATGTATTTTTATATTTGCATAAACAAAGGAGAAGTAAAGACATTAAAAGTTATGCACAGTAGTGGAGGAAAATGGAATGAAGTAGGTGCTGATAGAGATCGAGTGAAACTTCTCAGCGTAGACCTTTTCATATTGTTTTGATTTTTGACCATTTGAGTGTGCCATTCAAAAATAATAAAGATATATGTAAAGCTATTACCATTTTCTTAATCAACAAATTAGAAGCTTCAGTCATCTTAGAGTCTCTTCTCTTTTTAGTTCTTCCCTCAGTCTGTTTATTATCTTTCCCTCCCCTAATTTATGGCCTATATTTTCTCACTGCCAAACTTTTAAAAGTACAGACTCTGGTACCTACTCCCTCATTCTCACCAATTGCTCGCCTTTAGTGCCATAAAACCTGATTTCTGCTGCTCTTACTTTCTCCCCTGGAGATCACTAAGCCTGGTGTTTTGTTCTCAGTCTTTCTCCTTTTCTCCTTGCCAGTAGCTGTGGGTACCCACAAAACCCTTGATTGCCCTGTCCGTTGGCATCGCCTTCTCTTAGACGTAACTAGGGCTTTTTGGTGACTTTTTCTCTTTCTTCTTCTGGCTCCTCTTTTTGTACTACTCTCTGTCCCCGGATGTTTCCCAAACTTTTGTTCTTGGCCATATTTCTTTTCTGTCAGCATTTCCTGGCTGTCAAATTTCTCACTTTTCAGATAAAGAAATTTGTGTTTCTTTTAGAAAACTTAAAGTATGATTTTTTTTACTGCTCACATTCTCATCTGTTTGTTCTTATATTTGATCATCATTTCAATGCCAATAACTATCAGTTCTTTTCTTCGAATCCTGATTTGTGTCACAAATCCCTCAGCTTTTCCACCCTCTCCCACTTCTGTCTTTCCTCAAGCGATTCTTCCTCTCTTCAACTGGTCTGTTTTGATCCCATCTCTTCTGACAAAATACTGCCAATGACTGAGATGTGTGAATCTCCCCCAAATAACTGTGGCTGCTTCATTCTCTAAATAACAAAAGTTTCCCTGGCTGGTGTAGCTCAGTGGATTGAGTGTGGGACTGTGAACCAGACAATTGCGGTTCAATTCCCAGTCAGGGCACAGGCCTGGGTTGCAGGCTGGTTCCCTGCAGGCCACTTCCCAGCAAGGGACGCACGAAAGGCAACCATACATTGATGTTTCTCTCCTTCCCTTCCTCTCTAAAGATAAATAAATAAAATCTAAAAAAAAAAAATTAAAAAAAAATAACAAAAGTAATAAACACCATGCTCATCTTGTGCAGATATGCATTATCATTACTGAATCACCCTTCTTCACCCTACTACACTAGGTAATGAGTTCCATGAGAACAAAAAGTATATCCTATTAATGTACCAACGGAAACGATTGGTACAACATGGTGTTATAGTGATAATAACTATTGGAAGAAAGAGAAGGCAGCATCCAGGGTGATATTAGACATTTTTCATTATCACAGAATTTACCCATTCTATAATGGGCTGGGTTTTCTTCAGGCAATGATGACTACGCATTTAAATAAATCCTTTTTCTTCTTTTTGAAATGTGGAGAGACTGATATGTGGAGATTGGTATGTGGAGAGAGAGAAAGACATAGTGGAAAAATCAGAGTGTTTAAGGTACCAAGACCGATATCTCACCATGATTTCTCTTCTGTGCCCCAGATTCATATACACCAGCTGCCCAGGGAGCATTTATGCTGGGATGGCCATTTGGTACCTTAACCTCAGCAAGTATAAAATAAATCACTCTTTTTCCTGTAAACAAACTCCTCCTAGACCTGTGTCCCCAGTTAGCCAATTGTACCAGCATCCACTCAACTGCTCAAGGCAGAAATCAGTTGTCTGCAGCTCCTTCCTCTTTCCCTAAGCCCTGACCTGCAATCAGACTCCTGATGATGTTACCTCCTAAATATTTCTCAACATTGCACCTTCCTTTATCTCTCAGTCCCCATTTTCTTCATTTAGACATTTATCCTCTTTTCTTTGCCCTATAATATTAGTCATCTAACAGAGCTTTTAGCTTGTAGACTCTCCACCTTCCAAACTATTCTCTATGATGCACTAGAGTAACCTTTCTAAAACATAGATTCGATTATGTCACCCCTCCTGACACACACACTTCAAATGCTTCAGTGGCTTCTTATCATTTATATAATATCCAAAGGCTATAAAGCCCCATACAACAGCATTCCAACCTATCTTTCCAGTCCCCTTGCCCAATGTACATCTCCCCTATGCTCTGAATGAATCTATCAACTACTTTACATTTCCATATGAAGTTTTGCTTTAAAAAAACCTTCCTTCCTGCCTCTGTAGAAACTTGTTCATCTAACTGCAATGTCCCACACTAATCTCCTCCCTCTCTCTCATTCTTCATAGAGCTTAAAAGCTTGCCTAAAAGCAGCAATGTCTGGCTCTAAATTGGGTTTATTTCTGTTACATCTGATCTAAGCTTTGGATACAATGTTTTATATTCCTTGTAGCTGCTTCTACTACTTTTATGTATATATTCATACATACACAAATGAGAGTACATATTTATGTACTGATTGTGAAAATCGTATATATATATATATATATGTATATATTTTTGATTTTGGCTGGCATTTCCATCACACTAAAAATTCTTGACATTACTCTGAGAGTCTAAAAAGATCATGTCTGATTAAAGAGAAGAAGTGGAAACAAAAAGATGACAGTTTAAGGCTATTAATAATTTTTATCCTCTAGTAATATTTTTAGAAGATTTCTAGATAATCAAAATAATGGGCTGATTTCTCTACTTTTTGATGCTATACCTCTCTAGAATTTCAAATCATTTAAATTAAATTATTTATATTATTGGCAAAATTTTCTGCGAATAAGTGGTCTACACTATTCACTGAGAAAGTATATTTTAAAGATAATTTCTAAATGAACGACTTACACAGATCGTAAATCTGGCTTTCATTCTTGCTCTGCTGCAGGGGGCTTTTGCTAAGTCCTATCACTCTTGTGAGCTTCAGTTTTCTCAATGGTGAAATGCAGGCAGTTGGATTAGTTTATTTTTAAAGCTCTTTCCAGCTCTGAAATGTCAGGACTGTATGTATGAACATAAAGCAGGAGAACAAATCCTGGGAGAGATGAAATCTTCTGATTATATCTGAAATATGCGTAGAGAATGGCTACCTTGTCAATAGTCAAAGGGAGCACATATCTCCTGACTTCAGGCTGGGGGGCCTTTCTGGCATTTTTCTTCACCTCTTCCCAGTTCTCACGTAAATTGGCTAAATATAAGTAGTTATAAACAAATTCAAACCTGCAAAAAATGAGAGGTCAAACATAGCACACAGAATTACAAATAATTTTACAGAGATGATACAAGATATTTAAAAGCACACATGCCTGCCTCTTCTTTATTCCTCAACCAAGAAACTGCTAATGACCCAGGCATACTAAACCCATTTCTTCTTGCCCACACTGGATAAAAAACAAACAAAAACAAACTGCCTCATAGATATATTTAAATAATGGAAGCTTCTGCTTCTCAATTACTATTTTGTCTGTGTCTTTAGGGGCTGCTGTCTTTAATAATCTGGCTAATTGGAAGAAAGCAGGCCTCTTTTTCCTAAACCCAGAGTGGGTGGAGTTCAAGGCTGCCCAAGGGATCTTGTCGAGTTAAGTAAGTTGAGTTTAAAGTCGCTTATCAGGTTATGGAACCTTATCTTTTTAGTTCTGGTTTATGTGCGTGCATGATCAGTTTTGAATTATTAAGCATGGTTTTGAAGGTCAGTTTGTGTTTCTGATTGCTCAAACTCTCTACAGCTTTTTCAGTGATATCCTGCAAGAGAAGCATACTTCTTGCATTTTAGAACCTAATTCAGGTTAAATATTGAAAACGTCGTTTCTGAAAAGGGCCCCTAATTTCCAGGAGCAAGTAGAGATGTAACATTTATCCACTGTCTTTTCTTACCCTTTCCAGCAACAGAGATCGACAATCAGAAACTCCTCGTCTTCGTAGGTGTTGATGTGATGGAAAAGGTTAAAAGGAGACGTCCTGTATTTGTGATTGAGATACTTTCTTTTTTTTTTGTCAGCAATATGAAGCCAAACCTTGAAAATGAGAAAACTATTTTGATGCATTTAAAAGGAAAAAGTGAGCATGATGAAACTCACTTCCTCAAGATCACAAATCTGACCAATAAATGTAAGACTTACCCCCATGGTTTCACTGGACTCAAAGCAATCCATGTAGTTGGTGCCCCAAAGAGTCCATGAAGAAAGGAACTTGAACAGGTTAATTTTGACTGGTGTCTCCACAAAAACAATGTAGTTGGGAGTCAAACCAAAACTGTTCAAAAACACAAATGGGCTTGTAAATGGAATGGACATGTTCTCAAACCGCAAAGAAATGTGTATACCTGAAGTATGCTCGGTTATGTGAATCAACAATGCCTATGTGAAATTAATTGCATTTACATTTAGGTTTGTGTGAGAGGCTGATCAGTATTGATATAAAAAGTAGACGTATCTTTAATATAAAGTTTTCCTGAAGATTCATAGCAGGCCTTCCAGATTACCTATGGACGTAAGATGGCTTGAATCGGTCACTGCAGGGGAATTGTACAACGATCTCTGACTTGCTTATTGGATCTTCCTTGTCTGAAATAAAGTGGTTTTAAAAGGCTTTGGAACAGCCTTTTAAAAATCATTATTATTATTTTTTAATACAAAACACTTAGAACAGCTTATGCAAGTGAAGAAATACATTTTCAGATTTTGATTTTTCAGAACTTATGTTAATTTTCTTAGGCATTGGCATTTCTCAGTGAAGTTTCATGAAAAGCTGCAATCATCTGGGAGAATGCAGACTCTGTGCAGCTTTGGAAAAGCCCACTCTAACAGCACTATGGCAGGCAAAGCACAGTGGGGGCACATCTTACCATGGGAGGTGGCTTCTTAAGGAATTAAGGCAAAGCTTTAATATGGTCACAATACCTTTAACAACTTCTTAAACTGCCAACAGAGTATAGTATAGGTGGATTTGTGTCAATAGCATCGCACAGTAATTCTTATGCCCAGTAAAGTTTATTTACTACTAAGTACCTCATCTTCAAAACCTTAGCGTGTATCAAAATCACATAAAGAGCTTCTTGAAATACTCATAGTGGGCCCACTCCCAGAATTATTGATTCAGTTGGCTTTGAGTGGAGCTCAAGATTCATATTTCTAACAGGTTCCCAGGATATGCTGCCAATGGAACTATACTTTGAGAACTATACTAAGCAATACTAAACAAAAACCTATATATATTCAAATAATTTCTGTCATCAAGATGGTTATCAAATATATGGCAATGAATGGAGAATGAATGTAGACTTCTATAAAGAGTACTCCCTTTTTTGTTTTACTATTATTTATTAATTTACTATTAATACTATTTAGCTATAGCATTAATATGAATTAGTAGATTTGTTCTTTTGTGAATTGAATAAACACAAAATACTTAGTACACTATCATATATGTGTATATGCTATTATGCATATACATATGTTTGAATAAAAATTTAATTTCATCTGGATCATGAATAAGCACTCAATAAATGTTTGCTACACTTGATTCTACATCTTATATGACCAAATACACATATATGCTACATCTTTGAAATATGTAGCAATAGAACTTGGCCACTTGCTTTATGTATTGTCCTTTCCTGCTATCGTGCCCTTCATCATTGGCAGGGTAAGGGTAGGGCAGTTGTCCTGAAATCTGAGAGTAATCTAACCGTGCATTTTGTGCTACCCTGATATTCTGATCTGGCACTTGTATTTCCAGCAACGTTCATACAATATAGACACTTGTTTTAAGAAAAGTCAAATTGGTAAACTAACCTGCTTGTAGCGGAGGGATCTTTACAATATTGTAGGCAATTGAAAAATTTTTCCCAAAGCAATTACCAATGTTATAAACAGTTCCATCACTTTCAATGTGGGGGTGAGCTGTGGCCCCGTTGACAGAGACATAGTTGCAAAGATCAACCTATGGCAGGAGAGTAAAGGTCATCCATGGTAAGAGAAGCATCATGTGACATCTTTGGTCCCTAGTTTTGACCTCACCGTGACTGCTGCACCCTCACTGTGACTGCTGCACCCTCACTCTAAGTGCACTTTCTCTTTCTTTCTATCCCTCTGGGTCCTACCCTCTTTGAAGTCTGCCTGAATTCCCACCTTTAGTGCAGGGCTCTGCTCTCACCTCCATGCTGACCCCACATGCCTCTGAAATCTGGGAGTTTTCCCTGACCGTGCAGTATAACCGATGTATGGTGTACACTGCTCAGGTTAGTTATTTTTCCTTTGTATGTGCAGGTTGTCCTCAAACAATGATAAATTTGAATCCTGGGACTTCTTTATATTCCTCTTCATTGTATTAGATAAATTGTATGAAGTTGCTAGTACTTAATAATTTTAATTATATAAAAACAGAAATTTTGTATGGAACAACCTAAACATCAAATCCAGGGTCTTACAGAGAATAGGAAACTGGAATTGTAAGGAACCCTAGGATTCATCTAGTATAGAAAGGTTTTGTTCCAAAGAAAGGCTTTTGTAGAAAGTTTCAGCCTAAATAGGTTTGACAGATTTCCCCTGAAATCTTTCAGGGGAAACATGAACCTCCTGAAATTAAATGCAAATATTTTTAAAAAGATTTTGTTCATTCATCTTTAGAGGGGAAGGGAAGGAGAGAGGGAGAGAAACATCAATGTATGGTTGCCTCCCATGCATCCCCCCTGGAAACTGGCCTGCAACCCAGGCATGTGTCCCGACCGGGAACCAAACTGAGATCCCCTGGCTCTCAGGCCCGAGCTCAATCCACCCAGCTACACCAGCCAGGGCTAAATGCAAATATTTTTGAGAAAGGACTTAGCAGTTTAATTCAATTTGTAGTCTCATAAAAAATTCAGAGTCACAAATCTGGCACAAAACTCTCAGTTTACAGAAGGAGAGATTGAGGTCCCAGAGAAATCAGGTGACTTGTTCATGGACACAGAGCTGTATGTTGACAAATCAACACTAGAATTTCTGCCTGGGACCTGCTTAGTAAACATTTTTTGAATGAATAATTGATGGAGTGTATATTTGTCTAACTAAATTTTTTCTCTTTGTTTAGGAGAATATCTTTTAAAGCATAGGGAGTTTTTAATATCTTCAGTAGTAGCTGAGACATTCATTCATTCATTCTGCCAGTCATTCATCAAGTACTTATTGAACGTCTATTATATGCTATACAGTGCACCAGGGTCTAGCAAAAGAGACAGTCCCTGCTTTCAAGAAGTTCAGTCTAGATTTGCACTGACCAATGTAGCCACATGTAGCAACTTAAATATAGATTACTTACAAGTAGATAAAGCTTTAAATTCAGTTTCTTGGGCACATTAGCCACATTTCAAATGCACAGTGGCACTTGGACAATGCATACATACAACGCTCCCTCCATTGCAGGAAGTTCTATTTGATAGCACTATGCTAGACCAATAAGCTGATGTGTGTGTGTGTGTGTGTGTGTGTGTGTGTGTGTGTGTGTAGAAGGGGGGGGTCAGCATAAGATGGTAACTGTAGAGAAAGGCCATACAGACCTTTGTCTGTAGAGAAAAAAGTCTAACTGTAGAGAAAAGTCTAATCCGGACTGGGAGATTAGGCAGGGCTTCCCAAGGGTGATGACTCCAACTAATGCTTGAAAGAGAAATCCAAGTTATTCAGGTAAAGAAGGATGGCACGGAGTGTGTTCCAGGGAACCCTGTTGTGCAGGCCCAGAGTTGTGAAATAGCGTGCTGTTTGGGAACTACTAGTCGTGCAACGTGGCGGCCATGAAAGGCATGCATAGGAAAGGGAATAAGAGAGTAAGAACGGGCCAGGCATGAAGGCCCTTGTTTGGATTTTATCTTGGAAACTATGGGTGCCCTAAATGGAGTAACACATCCATACTTGCATTTTAGAAAAAAATGCTCCTACTGAAGTAAGAAAGTTATATTTAAGAAAACAGGCAGGAAGTGCCTTTTGACCCAGCAATTCCACTGCTAGGATTATACCCCAAGAATCCTAAAACATCAATTTCAAAGAACCTATGCACCACAATGTTCATAGCAGCACAATTTACAATAGCCAAGAGTTGGAAGCAACCTAGGTGCCCATCAGTAAACGAATGGATCAAAAAATTGTGGTACATATACACCATGGAATTCTATGCAGCAGAGAGAAAGAAGGAGCTACTACCCTTTGCAACAACATGGATGGAACTGGAAAGCATTATGCTGAGTGAAATAGGCCAGGCATTGAAGGACAAATACCATATGATCTCACCTTTAACAGGAAGCTAAACAACAAAACAAACAAGCAAGCAGAAAAAAAACAAAGACACTGAAATAGAGAACAAGTGGGCAGTGACCAGAGGGGAGAGGGAAGGGAACTTAAGGGGAAAAAGGGGGAGGGATTTTGAGGAACAAGTATGAAAGACACAGAGATGAGGACTTGGGGGGGGGGGGGGGAATGGGAGGGAGGGGGGAGACCGGGCGGGGGGGTGGGGTGGGATGGGAGAAATAGATAAAAAAAATGTACTTGAAAAGTAACTAAATAAAATTTAATATTAAAAAAAAAGAAAGAAAACAGGCAGGAAGCAAAGGTACTGATTGGGAGGCTATCTTAGTAAACAAAAAAAAGTTTTAATAATATATTTTTTATATGAAGTCAAAATACAGTGCTGTTCACAATGGAACCTGATCCCTACCAAGGTCTATCATGGAGCCATATCATGAAGTTTGTATTTCCAATGAAATCACACAGCAGTTGGAATACAAATTCACTATCAGAGTCCCCTTCGGTCCTTCTCTAGGTGGGCTACACACATACCCATATGTGGTTACAAACATACATCACAAATGAAGGAAGAGCTATTGAGAGTATGCCAAGCCTTAGTAAAGTCTGCTGAGGGTTATAAATCAGCTTATGACATTGAGACCCAGTGTTGGAACTATTTTTCCTCTCTGTTTCTACTACACTAAATTTCTGGTCTTGAGTTCCACCTGTCTCTTAGCTTCCTTAACTATTTTGCCCTCCCATACAGCTTAACCATGGCAGATTAAATATCCTGAGGCACAGCTCTGCTTATATCACTTTTCTGAGTAAACACTTTTGTTTTTTACTTCTGGACACCAGAATATTTATGTGGGACTCGTCAGTGAAATCCTTCAGATGAACTGGACGCTGCAACAGCTGCCCTCTTGGGTTTAGGTGGTGTTCCTTCGCGGAATCCATGCCTGAGTGTGTGGTTCACGATTTCTAGGTGCCTCCTGAGACCAGTCCCAGTAGTGTTTCGTCGTTCAGCCTTGGCACTCCAGTTACACTTCGTCTTCCGCTTGGTGGGGTAGCCACACTTGTGCAGGTGGAATTTGGCAGGGGGTAGGTCTTTGAGCCACAGCAGCGGCATAGCATGTGTGTCTTGTTGCGGCGCTTGCTTAATCATGATGGCTCTCTCGTCATCTTGCTTCCGCCGCTGAGACCAAAGAGCTGAGTAAACACTTTTAGTACCTTCCCTTTAGGTAAGCAACTTATTTCAAATTTTTGTCCATTATTCAAACATGAGTTTTATCCTACCCTGTGTCCCACTGTTCTCCCTGACCTTGCTTGATCACTAGTTCTCAACTGGGAGTGATATCGCCCCCTGGGGGAATGATTGGAAATGCTGGGAACGTTGTGGGTTTCCTCAAGGATTGAGGAAATGACTGGCCTTTACTGGATGGGACCAGGGGCGCCTGTGTACTGTGTGGGACAGTCCCGCCCAATGCCACTAGCCCCTCCATTGAGAAATGTTGCTGATCTAGTCAAAGGAATTATTCTTTAATTTCCATGAACATATCCTCTATTTTCCTTCCTCTAACCCTTTGATTATGCCACTCTCTTTACCTGAAATGTCCTTTTTCCAAATTCATTGAAGTTGTTTCTTTCCTTAACTTCTAACTCAAATGCAAGCCTTTTTAATCCTCCTTGACTGGGCCACTTTGCATTCCCCAGCTTCTGCCAGAAGTAATCTCTTTGTTCTCTGTGCTTTCGTGGAAGGTTCTCCTTTTCCTAAAGGACTCATCGCATCATGTGTCCTCTTAGAGCTAGCTCGTGCATTTGTTTGATTTCTCCATTGAGATGTTCAGCTTTCTGAAGACTAGAACAATGCCTTCAAATAGTTACACTTTAATAAATATTGATCAAAAATGTGGATCTATGTTATTGACTGCTGCATTGAAGTTCTCAGCAAAATTGATCACTTTCTAATATTGCTCATATTTTTATCTATGCTATTTTATTTAAAATATAACTTTATTTCTAATCATGGACAGCAGGGTTTTCAATACTAATAGCAGTAATTTTTTTGAACACCTAGTGTGTGCCAGGTCCATGCTATCTTCTAAAAGGCAGGGACATGCTGTCTTACATATTGATGTATCCTTTGCACCCAGAATAAGTTCTGGTACATGTTGGAGACTCAAAAAATACTTGTGTCACAAATGAGTAAATGAATATATTCATTTATCAGATTTTCTTTCAATCCATATAATAAGTTTAAAATTTCACTAATGAAGAAACAAAATTTGAACTATGTCGCATTTCTAATAGTTGATGATGAAGCAAGAATTTGAAAATCAGTCTGGCTCTCATGTGCTGTCTGCCAAATTGCACAGCTGGTTTACTTCTAAGTTGCAATTCTAAATTCTTGAGTGATGTCGCCTGAGCACTGTATCCTACCTGCTTAATCGTCTCCAGGGTCTCGGGATTAATCTTCGTGATGAAGTTGGTCTCTGTGCAGGCATAGTAATCCTCCCCCACTGGGTAGATATTAACAAGGGCATTGTCAGTAACCTCTACTCCTCTAAAGTAAGAAAAAAACCTGCAGAAGCAAATGGAGTTTTTAGTCCAGTAACATACAAACCATAAGATAAAAGGGGAATAATATAAAATGTCTTTCATAACATGCAGCTGGGTTTCAGTAACCTGGAAAATATGTTCTTGCAGGGATCTGGGAAAGCACAGGTACCGAATTCTGTTATGACGATCCTTTTCTCGGTCATTGCCCGTACGTAAGCATCAGTGCGGATGAACCTGGAGGACAGGAGAGACACAGGAAAAGGGTCATAGACAGGGGCAATCGGAGTAGTCCATGAGGAGCTTAGAATGGTCATTCTGGATGCCCTTATTGAATCAGAATATATGTTCACAGCACAAAGAATGAAGAGTTTTGTCAGGTCACTTTCTCCTGGTGACCAAGGGAGAGACAATGTGCCATGAGTGTAAATTTATGTCTTATAAATCTCACAGTGACAGGTGAGGAACTCAAAGCTCAGAGAAGTTAAGTGATTGGCATTTGTAGCCAAGCTGGGTTATAACTCAAGTTGGCCACATCTGGCAAACATGCATTTTCCATATCACACTCTGCAGCCCCCATGGTAGTTGACGTAGGACATGGGACTTCCTGCAGCCTGTAACATACCAGCCTGCACTTAGAGGGACATACAGGACATGGTGTGCTGAATTGTATTCCACTCGATCTCCCTCGCGTCCCTCTTGTATTTTCTTCAACTTTAAAACGTATTTTGCTACTTTAAAGTGGATGTTCTTCGGTGCAGTCTCCCGCACCGGCAGACCGCCTGGACCATATCCCAGACCAGATGGCACATGTCGTCCAGTGTTTCTCACACAGGGAGCCAACGAAAATCAGAGTTTTACCCTTCCTCCAATCCACATAATAATTTCATAGACATAAAATTTCACAGATAAGGAGACAAAGTCATGAAGATGAAAAAAATACCAACATCTTTAGAAGGCATATGAGAGCTTTGTCTGACCTCCAAAACATGCTTTTTGGTAGCTAAATTTTTACTTCACACGATGTTTCTCTTTTACCATCATCCAAGTTATCCTGACTGCTTTAAGCCTCCATTTACTCTTCCTTTCAATGTCTTTTTCAAATGCCTGATGTCAGCGGTGGTCAACAAAGCCACTCCCAGGCCAGAATATTACAACATGAGGCAAATTTTTATTGTGGCATTAATACGTGCTTTCTAGAGTTATGGCTTAGGTCGGTGATTCCAACCTTTTTCATCTCATGGAACACATAAACTGATTACTAAAGTTCTGTAGCACACCAAAAAATATGTGATATTTTCTGCCAATGTAACAAAAAACAAGTATAATTTTGCTTTATTCAAAATTGTGTTGGCTGTTGTCATCTTTTAATTTGACAGTCTAAGGGAAAAGAGGTCAGTGCCCCCGACTAGGCAGCCAGGTACTGCATGTTTTCAACATTCTTGTGCACAACGCTGTGCCAGCACACTGGGGGGAAGTCGTTGGCTTAGTTCGGCCTTTAAGCCTTTCAGCAACAATGTGCTATTTTTTGAAAAGTTCTCTTTCTTGTATCATTATCACATATTTGGTCCTTAACTCCATTTTGGCACCCTCCTCCTTCCTTGTGGCCTTTTGTTTATAAAAAAAGTAAGTAGTCAAGAGAATCAATGACAATAATAACAATAATAATTTTATTACTGAATACTTTCCATGTCCTGGGCCTATGTTCTTATTTACTCCTTGTAATGAACTGATAACTAGATTCTATTATTTCTCATTTAAGAGGTGACAAAAGCAAGAATTAGATATCGATATTAACATCTTGCCAAAGGTTGTCAAAGATATCTGATAGATACAGGGTTTGAAACCAGGCATGTTGGACCCCGAAGGCCTAGTTCTTAGTTCTTCTTTATCCCATAGCACAGTTCCCAGGTGTCTGTGAGATGCACTTGCCCAAGTGGATTCTGAAAAGGGACTGTAAGTCCCCTCTTGGGTTCAGGAGTTTGAAAAGCCAATGGGAGGTAGAGCCGAGCTAGGCCCCGCCCCTGGTAGGGGGATTGGGGCCTAGGGTTCCTTTACCTTCTATGGTATGTGACATGTCCTTCTTTAAAGTCGAACTTGTGCAGGAGGGCTTGCCCGTCAAACAGGTGGTAAAATGGCTCAGACCCCACTTCAAAGAGTCCTGGGCCACATCGAAGGAGACTGCCGGTGAGCCAGAGGGGGATCCTGCCTGTGATGAATGGGACACACACAACGTTGTTTCTTTCTCCCACTTTTGGCTGGGCTGTCCCTGCTCAGGCACGGCGATGATATCAGCAGCCTGAATGGGCAGCCTCTTCTTTGTAAGGCTGGCCGTGGGTTTTATTCCCAGCTCTCAGGCTGGGTAGCACTTAAGCAATGCCTGCCGAGTGATGGTCCCGAATCTAGGAGACCAAGTAGGAGAAAATGTGGCAATGCCTCAGAGTTTGGATGCAGAGCTGGAAGAAGACAGGGAAAGCATCCTGAGGGGAATGGGATTCTCTAACTAACAGATTTCCCCAAATACCAATACATTTACCTTTTTCTAACATCTCATTTTTAAGAAGAATTTCAAATTTCTTGATATAATTTGATAAAATACGGGTAGGAAGGATGGGTTAAGAGCAGGGATTAAGACACTAAACAAGGATGGGTGTATAGAAAGAAATCATTTATACTACAACAAGAATATTGGCTTTTTAAGATCTAGAACTATACTTTTTTGAGGGCATATGCTACTGTCCAGGTGAAGTCAACCTGCTGTAGCAGCAGGTGCACAGGGCAGGATGTTAGAGACCTGGATTCTGGTTCAGGATTTGCCACGTACATGCTCCAGGCCTCAGTCTGCACAATGGGGGGGTACACAAGAAGGACCTCAAGGCCTTTCAGTTTAAGAAATTACATTTGTGCCCTTTTATCCTTTAAAAAGTGCAGTGTTTGGCAGTGTTTACTTAATTTTTGCCAATGTTTTTACCTTTTTTTTAAAACAAGTGGATTATTTTTTATAGCTCAGTTTCAGCAACCTACTTGATAAAGATTTTATATGTCTGATAAAATCTTTAAGAAAGTGTGACTTAACTAAAAAGTACAGCATTAATTTAACTGTTAGAACCTGGATTGTTTGCATCAGAATCTAGTGAGCATTTGGCTGATCCCTCGTATTTTACAGAAGAGGAAACTGGGAGGAGAGAGACTCGCCCAGGCTCTGGCCCTTCCATGACACCATGTCCAGGCAAGGCTGCGTATGGATTATACGATGTCTTTGGATGATGATAACAGGAGTACGAGTTACCATCTGTTGATCACTCTGTCTCAGACACAGGATGAATCTTTCCATTTACATGATCTCATTTCCTCTTTACAGTATCCCCATGAGGTAAAACTTGTTTTGTCATACGTGAAGGAATTTAGGCTCAGAGAGTTTAAGTAACTTGTAGGATTCACAGCTACTAAAATGACTGAGCTGCCACTAGCACCTGCATTTGCCCAACTCCAAACCAAGACTCTTCAATATAATGGACAGAAAACCTGCCACCCTTGAATGTCATATTTCCAGATGCTTGTCACCAGGCCCTCATTCATCTACAGAGACAGAACAGATATTTATGGAGCCTTTACTATGTGCCAGGTACTGAGCTAGGCATGGCATGGACATTTTAAACGTGACAAAAGTGTAGTCCTCATCCTCAAGGAATTCCAAGTAGGTAGCATTTTTCTCCATTAGAGAAATAAAGGTAAATGAAAGAAAGTGAGCTCTGGGCATAGAAATCTTGAGCCCCCCGCCGATTACTTCTGTAGCCAATAGGGGAGCCAGCAAAGAGAGGTGCCAATGAATTGAAAGAAAGAAGAGCGATCTCGAAGAAAAAGAGAGGATGGCTTCAAGCCTGGTGGGACCGACCTGTAACATGAGCTGTGAGTGGCGAGGAGAGTTCCTCCACAGTTTCGAACAGCTTCTTGTAGCCGCCAGCAGGATGCTCCACTCTGAAATGTGGAATAATAAGGAAGAAGCCCATGTTATAGTCAAAGAAGTGCACTAAGGCAGAGGCAGAGTTCCAGGGCAAAAGGTGCTCTCTGGCTCAAGGCCAATACATGTTACCAGTCCAGCCTCTGCTAAGGGAGTGCACGGTGCTTGGGGGAATAAAAACATACTCAAGTTTGCAAGATGGCCCAGGTCAGTGCTCTCCTCTTTAACTTCAGGAAATAACCTCCCTTTTAATGTCACAGTGAACCTGGTCTTGCCCTCTGCAGTTTTCCCATATTTCTGAAGATAGATCAACTAAACCTGCTGCTATCACTTCTCTTCCGGACAGAGTCCCTCCCATGGGATTGCATGGCCCCGTTGACACCAGCTTGCTGCACCTGGGTTCTCTTGCCTCACAGGCAACCTCGTCTCTTTCCCCCATGAGGGGTGGAGAAGACAGCTTTATGGGTCAGGACCTCATCCTTTGCTCTTCACCATATTTTACCAAAATCTCCTGCTGTCATCTCAGGTCTTCACCAATCTCTAAGAGCTACAGTACTTTTTAAAATTAGTCAGTTTTCCACTTCTGCTTATTTTCTTTCTCCTCACTTTGGCTCCATTTATAACTTCTTAGAGTGGGAGTTCTGACCAGACAGCTTAACTTTGATAGTTATCTTTTATGAAGTGCTTACTATATGCCACACACCATAAAAACAATTTTGCATGTTATGAGCTCATCTAAATCTCACAACAACACAATGGACTAAGTACTGTTGTTGTACTCCTTTTATGAATGGAACACCCTCACCTTTAAAGCGTTAACTGATTTTTCCCAGATCACATAGCTAGGAAGTGGTTGGGTACGAAGTGGAACCCAGGTCTGCCTTATTGAAATCCTCATGTTCTCGACTGCTTCCATGGTCCATTCTCAGTCACACAGATCCCACTATAATTTATACGTGAATTCTAGATATTTGCTTCAATATATAAATAGGAAGAAACTCCCTCACCAAGACCCAAGGCCTTTCCTAAATAAGCTGTCAGTCCTCTTCAGAAGCTTTTGAAGTGGCCTATTTACCACCAACCTACTAAAGTGTTTAAACGGAATCTCCCTGCGATACTTACTGGATGGACATTTTCTTTCAGTGGAAGATGGAACGTTCTGGCACCAGCTGCAGAATGAGGAAGCGAGACCTCAGCCAGGGCCCTTTATATGCCTTTTAAGTCCCCCCAAAGGGAGTCATGACTTTGAGAACCCTTCCACACCCCCTTAGCTGAGGGAAGGGGAACAGAAGCGGCTTTCAGCATTCAGATTCTTCTGATGCTCGAGCATTATTTGTGCTTGCCGTTCCCATAACAGTTTTTTGGGCTGTCTTCCAGAGACCTCAATCCTTCCCAAAGAGAAGGAGAAGTGGATTAGAAAGAAAGGAGCTGTGTGGGAGTGGCTAGCATGAGGCCTGAGCTGATCCAGGTCACCCCAGCGGACCCTCGCACTGTTCTCTGGTTTCCAGTGCCCTCCACCCTCTCTGTGCTCTCACCTCCACCCTCATTCATTTATTCACTCACTTATTTAAAAAATATTTATTACACATTGTCTATGGACCAGAGATGGGCACATTCCCTATTTTCACAGATGTTATAACTCTTTGAGTAATAGGAAACTGATAAACTATTCAATAAAATTGTGTAAGTGTTGTTACCAGAGAAATGTGGAGTGTTATAGAAGCACACTGTAGCACCTGTAACCCTCTCCAGTCACCTTATTGACCCCATTCAGTGCCCCAGTTCCCACCAGGCTGAAGACTATAGCCATAGCCTTTAAATTTGCTGAAGATAAAACCCTGTTCATATCCTTGCTTGTCACTAATGCTCCATCTTACCTTCCTGTCCATTTGTATGTGTTCTGCACTCAGAGAGTACATAGCACTATTTTATCTATATTTCCACCCTTCTTTATTAGACCTAAATTGTTTGCCAGCACAGACTTGGTACTTCCCAAAGGAGTCCCCAGAAACAAAAAAGCTGGTATATACTATACCAGCTAACAATTTTAACAGTTTTTGAGAAACTCATTAAGCACTTTAAAATTAATAAATGGTTATGGCTACCTACGCCAGGACTCTTTAACAAAACTGTATAACAATCTGAGTACTCCTCAAGATAGAAGATGGAACTTTCCCAGCCTGCCTTAAAGTGAGGGTGCAGGCATGTGACCTGAGCTCTACCAATCGGAAGCAAGGTCAGGGGTCTCAGTGGCAGCCTCAGAGCCCAGCATCACTGGTGTTTCTGCACATCCAAGGCAATTGTTCCTGCACTGGAATCATTCTATAGTGGAACCTCTGGGAGCACCATCACTGGCCTGGTAATCTCCAAACCCCATTCTTTAACCACTCCAGATTCTAATATTTAAAATATTTGTGTATTAGTTTGATGAACTAAGATTTGCTTTAGTTGTTTGCAACTAAGAGCTCTGTCTCTATAAAATAATGGTTATAGAGGACTGTCACACAGGAAGAACATCTATATTGGTATATGGAGGTTCCAGAAGCATTTTTTAGGCAGTAGTATCTAAGCTGTGTTAGAAAAAAATATGTAAAAGTTAGCCAGTCAATGGGCAAGGAGAAGAGTATTCAGGCACAGCTTGTAGAATTTACAAAAGTCTGGTAGTGAGCATGATTTGGCAAAATGGCAGGAGATGAAGCTAGAGATTTCACAGAGCCTTGTAAGCCAGGTGAAGAAGTTGAGACACATGAGAACAAACGAAGTCACTGAAATGTTTTATTCGGAAGAGTGATACAATCTGACTTGCAATTTATTAAGATCGCTTTGATTAAATTTTGGATAACACGTTGGAATAGGAGATTTGGGGAAGTTAAATTAGATGGAGATCGAACAAGCAAAGGTCGCTGTTATAAGGGGTTATCCTGGGGGTGGATGGACATGATGGTCAGATTCAAGAGATATTTCAGAGGAAGACTGATCAAGCTTTGTGACTGGAGAAGGCACTGGGGAACTAAAAGGCAGGAAAGGATGGGCACTAGGTTTCTGGCTTGAAATCTGGCATGGTTCATTGAGGTAGCTCTCACTGTTTCGGGGTGTGTTTCTGTTTTTGTGTGTGTGAGCATGATATTTCAATGATTCAGAGATAATGAACTCTGATTGTGCTACTTTTTATTAAAGAAAGACACCACTGGGCGCTGTAATAGTGTGAAGGTTTCAAAGGGACATGGGATGAGTTGGAATCCGAGGGATTGGCAAGGTGTGCACAGAGAAGATGGAGAGAAAATTTCTGGTGAAGGGAGCAGAGCGAGAAGACAGACTGGGCAACTTGGGAGGCACGTGTCTGAAGGACTTTTCTATCTCTCGTATGATTCTGCTGGATTTTATTTTCTCAGAGGAGCCTCTTCTCCGTGAGTAAACTTATAAGCCATGTTGTGGTACCAGTGCTCTGGCAGCCCGCTGAGGAGAAATTCCAGGAATACCATGGCCCAGCTTTTCTTTACTTGCACCACACATTACAAGGGGCCGAAGGAGAAAGCTTGTGGCAGCCAGAAAATCCGCCCTGGCTGAGTGGCGGGCACGGACAAGCTGCATTTTACATTAACAACTGTTTCCCAGGAGACGAAACACCATCTTCCTGGTGCCACCACTGTACTGAGTGCCTTTCTTGGGTGTGCCCGTGCCACCTTCGGGATCCTGGAGCTGCAGCCACAGTTAAAACCAGGAACTGATTTTAGTGATTTTGGCATCTTTGGTAGCCTTTCTTTGTCACCCTATTTCAAACCTGGAGGTCAGCTGTTTGAGGGCTCTTTGTTTAAAAAATACAAAACAAAGCAATTCACTCCTGAAAGATGTACAGACTCAGAGTTCCTGTCAGCTGTCAAGTTAGCCTGCCGGATTACAGTCAGGACGGAAAGTAATCACTGGGCACTGACCTGCACTGAACTCCGAGTTCTTCAGGTATAAAATGGAGAAAATAGGCAAAAGCATGGTTTTTTTTAGCTGGAAGTACTCTATAAAAATATAAAGTAATACTTACCAATGTGCTCATTCTCAGAGAGTTTGATCTCATGTCTAACCTTTCAGCTAATACCTCTTACCTCAGGGGAAACACATTTCCCCATTATTTTGTTACTAGAAAACCAGAACAAAGCTGGGCTATATCCTTTCTAAAGCATCCATTTTAACCTCTTAGATGCAAAGGCCCCAAAAGCAGACTTCCTTTTCAGGTGTATCTGTAACCGTCCATTGTGTCGCCGTGACACCCTGGACCTCCCGTGTGGCTTTACTTTTCCTTCCAGCCTCTCCTCTTGTTTCCCACCTAATCTTTTGTTATTTAGTAAAATCAGATCTCCAAAAGAAACTTTCATTTGGATACATTTTGATGCATTTACCAAAATAATACTCTGTGAATCAAAACAGTAAAACACCTTTCTTCAAGCAGGGATTTCTAAATAAGAACTGATTTCCCTTTTCTTTGAATAAACCATTTCTGAGAGTATAAGGAGTTTGGATTGTATCCTGAGAGCAATGAGAAGATATGAAAGAGTTTTAAGCTGGAGGATGACTGACGTTATCAGATTTCCATCTGGGAGGAAAATCACTCTCCCTGACGTTTGAAGAATGGACTCTAAGTGTCTGGAGTGGAAACAGAGAAAGCAGTAGTAGCTCAGGTGAAGTGATGAGGGCTTTTAAACCAGAGTGGAGCAATGAAGATGGGAAAAAAGCGAATGAATGGCAGATCTGTTTGTAGATAAAAGTATAGGACCTGTGTGATATAATGAACATTTCTGGGATGTAAGGAAATGGGGGAATGGGGTGTTTAGCTTATCTATCACTAATATCATAGCATGGAGATTAAACACCGAGTCTAGTGCTGTACAAGAAGATGAGCCTGGGTGGTCGCCTAGTAGACTTTCTCTCATAACTTGACTTTGCCTGGCTGTTGGCTGATCTAGGTCTCTTGTGGATTGAGGGGTAACTAGGCTTTATTACATATCTCCTGTCCAGTAGGGCGATGGGCACATTCTCCTGGCAGTGGTAGAGATGAAAGAGAGCAAGTAGAAACTCAAAAGCAGCTTAATGCCCAGGCTCACCACGGATACACTGACAACTCTGCAACCTTCTATCGGCAACACAAGTCACAAGGCCAGTCCATATTCCAAAGGATGTGAAAGTAGCCTCTGCCTTTTTAGTGAGACCTGCAGTGTCACATGGCAATGCCACGGGTACAGGGAAGGATGAGGAACTGGGGCCATTTTTGGAGCGTGGTACATAGGACGATCGAATAGAATTTTAAGGTTTTTGCTTGAGCTACTGAATAAGTGCCACACTATTCTTTACAACTAAGGGAGTGATGGTTGAATGAAAAAGGGGATATCAAGAGTTCCCAATTAAATTTAAGATGCTTTAAGATGTTCTCCATGAAGGTTACTTGTGTATTCTTCTTCCCTCCTGTGTAATACCTCTGATCCTCCTTGCCTTGAAGGAGTGTGTTCAGTGGAGGTCGATTCAAGCCAATGTAGTCTGATTTCTGGGTATGTGTTCTTAAAAGTATTACTTTCATCCACATATGGAAGTTCTGGTAAATATTATTTTCTTTACTTCACTCCATGTTCCTTGTGCATATTGTGTATGCTACTGGAAGCTTTCCAACATTCCCCAAACATAATGTCAGTCTATCCTTTTCAAAGAAAGGCAGACCATGTCCCTTCTACACTTAGGACCTTGCAGGCAATCTGAATTAGTAACTGGGTAGTCTAAGCACGTGGCGCAGCTGTAGGATGCCCACTTCTCAGTGTCGTCATCTGCCCCTCTCCCATTTCATTTGAACTCCAGCAGTACCAAGCTGTTCATTGCTTCCCATTGATTTCACACCATTTCATGCTTCCCTTTCTTTGCAGTCTAGATCCTTTGCTTGGAAGCCCTTTCCTTCCCTTGCCCATCTGGTAAATGCCTACTTTCCATCACAACCCTGACAGAGCATCACCCTCCTGTGTTGCTTCAGACAGGATGATCTCGTTTGTACTTTGTTTGGAAACATATTTGTTGGTTTTGTCCATATCACATTATATTGTTTGATTTGTTAGCATGGCTGTCTTTATTAGTTATTGTAGAAAGGTAGAATGAAGTCATCCTAGCACAGTGACATTTAGCTAAATCATTCTACACCTGTCAAGATGAAA